TTATTGGGATCATGGCTGAAAATATCGCTAACGGCAAGATTACTCAACTGATTTTGTTTGCCTGTTTGTCTTAGAGCAAAGCCACATAAGGCAATCTGCTGTGTCCGCCGCGACGATCGCACATTTTGATCATTGTAATAAAAAATCTAATGATAAAAACATATGTATAATTAAACGAGCTATGCTCTACTCTCCAACTAATACTGTTATAAAGAGTGGCATTAAAAACAGAGTTAAAGATGCTCAACATTTTACCAAAATACTGTTAGGTGAAATCTTATTTACCCATTTATGTTGACATAAGATTATACATAATCTAAACGTAACCCTAATTTATCAATGTCTCGCCAAGTATATTAATAAGATGCGTAGAATTTAAGAAAACTTTGCTTTATAATTATGCCATTAAAATATCTAATTCTTTGTTACGTAGCTGGCGTTGAAGGTCTTCTAATCCTGTGTTCTGCTGAAATCAGTTTTTCGTCAATAATTAGGATTAAGTTATTATATCATTATATCGTCATTATTAATGAAACTTTTATTACTTTATCGTTCCAATCAACGACGTGAAAAGTATATATTGAATTTGTGTATGCATAAAATATATCAGACAATAAGAATATGCATGGCATAATGTGATAATTAATTGACCTTAGATCACTTGTTTTCAGATAAGTTATAATGTACTAACATTTTTATTAAGTGCACTTCTTATTCGATGACGAGGAACCGACTTAGAGACTAAGTACCTGATGATGACAAAACCTTGTCGAAACGTTTTACATTTGCTGTTGTGTTAAACTTATATTAAAGTTTTTCTTCATTACCTATTCAAGCCGTCTCCAACCATTATAAGTGTACTTCTGACAAAACCTGTTTCTTCATCTCCTTTATATATATCTTGTCTGTTGATAAGCGCAAAGCTACACAATGGACTATCTGTGCTGTGCCCACCACGGGTATCGAAACCCGGTTTTTAGCATTGTAAGCCTTCAGACTCTCCGCTGAGCCACTGGTGGGCTCCTTTATATTATATATTGTAACTTGTAGGCAGAAATCTATAAAAGGGGCTGCTACTTCGGAGATAAAGGAAACGGGTGTTGAAGCCATACTAGGGCGTCAGGGAGTATGCCCCCTCCCATATTATATTATATTTTTATGCATGCCAAGCTGTAAC